AATCAGAAATTCTGGGAGATGTGATCCCAGCCTAACTAGAAAGCATCATATTGAGGAAGAGCTACAGGTTACTCACATGAAGAATTCTAACTCACTTCCCCATCTGACAAAATGGCAGCCTAATTATACTTGCCAATTTACAGCAATGCAACTCTGGGCTAAGGCATAGAATCCAGCTTGCCACTTCTCCTCCACTGTTTTCTTGTACCCACATAATGCACAGCCTTTCCACAAATTGCATATCACTTATCAGTATATCTTGGGCAGAAGCAAAAGCACACCAAAAAAATCCCATTTTGGTTTTATGGAGACACAGCAGTTGGATCATCTCCTAAGCTATCCTCTCTTGTGCTGACCAATGGAAGTGAACAGCTCACTCTTAAATGAAAGCAGCTTTTTCTCTATATTGGGGTGGGAGATTGTGAGTAAGCTGAGAAAAGATTGGAAGGGAAAGTAGAGACGAAAATCAAGAGACAGAAGATGGGTTCATTGGTAGCTTATCTCATAAATGGCAACTCAGGCCAGGGGGCAGATATTTTTGAATGATTTGCCATAATTAACTTGCTATAAATGAAGGGGAGAAATTCCTTTTACAGTCTTCAAGACTGATATCAAGCCCCATGAAGCTGGGTAAAATCAAGGATTCAAGAATTATACAGATTTCAGTAAAGTATCTTTAATGCTAGTCTGGTAGTAAATATATAATCTACAATATGTCTCCTTTCCATTCCATTCCTTTCCTGGTCTCCCAAAACTCTTTCACAGTTGTACTATAACTCCCATCATTGCCGTGACATTTGGAGACCACCAGTTTGGGGTGAACTTTCAGCTTATCATGGTAGCTATGCAACTACATGTTTAGAATTACGAGAAAGAAGGAAATCTATAAAATAAGCACATTTTGAGAACGTGCCATTTGAGAAGATTAAAAAAATGCAGGTTCAAGAATTATGAAAGTTCTTATGTGTTATACCAGAAATACATAAATGCACAGAGCTTTCTTATCTGAAAAATTATTGCATGAATCATGTGAATAAATCCTGTGAGATCAACTGGCTCAGCAGTATGTGTGAGCTTACCATTGCCTGAAAAATAGGAACTTTCCAGATGAATGTAAACTATTGCCACCAGAGTGCAATTCTCCAGTTTACAGCCTATTTTCAGATAGGCAAATGTTTATGAATCTCTGTTTAATGGTGCTTGTCATTTACACTGCAAAGGAAATCCCCTGATTTTGTGGAAGTAAACAAGATATTTTTTTGAAAAGCTTCACAGAAACTTATGCTGTTTGCATGTTTGATATAAACTGATTGAAATGTCAATTTACTTATGTTTGCCAACATTTGCTGATTAATAAATTAGATACTTGCAAGATCAGGTGCAACTCAGAATTGCAAGAACTAAAGAACTAAATCAGAAAATGTGTACTTTCGGTTTTTCACTTTGTGTTAGTTTCATTTACTCTGTTGGAAAAAGCCATATTTTGCTTTCCAACGATTACTGGATAACTTTGAAAGTATCTTTTTAATTACTAAAGATACCCATGGGATCTGGCTTGAAAATTTCCTCACAAGATCATAATCTTTGTGGAAAGTGTTTTTGAAAAAGAGGCTTTAAAATTATACTCAAGCTACACAATTTCTAAAAGTATTTTAAATCTGTGAAATTAATGATCAGATGATGAAACTTCAAATAGCCACAGTCGGGTTGGCATCATATTTCTTTGAATCTATACACTGTGTTTTAAAATGCCTTGGAACTTGAGTGCTTTTTTATGGCACAATCAAGGACAAGCTTCCCATAAGCATTTCTGTGGAACTCTTCCTGGGACAAAATCCAGGAATGTAGACCTTCATCTTTATATACAGCCATTATTAATAACTCCTCCTCAAATTTACCTTTTCCATGATACTGGATACTGGAATAATTTCTAAGTGTCTGAGGGATACAACTATATCTTTTCTATGCCATGCAAGCACAAGGAAGTACAATCCCAGGGAAAGGATTATGGCTTCTAATATAATGCATACTGCAGTCCTGAGGGGTTGGGATTGATCAACACAAACAGATTGAAGAAGGATTGACCTGTTTTGATGGGCCTGTTCTGAGTTGGTGATAACATATTTGACCTACAACAAACAGCCAGAAATATCTTCAGAAACATATTAATTTACAGAAGTGCAGAAGACATTGATTCCACTTTGGAACACAAAAGAACGATGCAAAATTGGTCCAGATATGTTGCTATAGAGGAAGGAATATGGAGATAGCCTTCAAGAAGAAATGCAAGAACTTTTAGTAAACGTCAACTTAACTCTGGCACGGAAGAGGGGTAAAAAAGAAACTCAGGATAACCCCACCTTGATTCTGTTTGGTATAAGAGGAGGCAGAGGGAAACTGACAGGCTATGAAAATTCTATTATTATTCCCTATATCAACAGAGTTCCACTAGTCCTTTCACTGTCTGTTCCCTGACTTGGCCTACCTCAAAGTGCTGACAATTTTCTACTTTGTATTGTCGAAGGCTTTCACGGCCAGCATACGATGGCTGGTGTGGGTCTTCTGGG